TTGTGTAGATTGAAGCCAACAGAAAAATTAGGAATCAAAACAAATACTTCTTTAAGTAATTATACAAAATGTCAGTGATCCTACCCTGTCTCTCCACAGACAGCTCTCATGTTCACCTTGGACAGTGAGCAAAGTGGTTCTCCATAAACTAGAAACACCTCCCTAATTTGGACTAAACTTGACATTTTATAACATCTTTGTACCTTTTCTGCGAAAGTAGTGAAATGAATGCGAATGTTACAAGATATAATAACTGTTTTTGTCCACAGAAAACTAGAGGAGTGAGCTCCAACTGTTGGTGGTTGTCCAAGTGGTTCAAGCCTCGGAGGCCAGGCGAGCTGCAGCGACCCGACTGTCAGTACCTGAAGAAGGCCAGAATATGGAGTGATTGTGTATTGCTAATGTTTATCTGGCAGGCAGGGAGGGTCTGGAATGGACAGGACTGAATGGCTTCAAGACAACAGTTAACTAGCTCCATCTGTTTGTAAAATGTTCTCCTTGAAACTCTGATGTTATTGTCTTTCATGCTCTTTGTTCAATGTGTTTTCTTCTGTTGACTCTTGCATTGCCTCCTCTTTCTGTTTTGTGTAATTACTTTGCTCCCAGTTTGATTTTCTTGGCTGGTGTGCAAGCACACCCAAAAACTTACTGCCTCTCATATGATCTTTATCAAATCAAAAATTTAAAGCAATAGTTCTGTAATTTGGGAAACATGCTTATTTGGTTTCTCACTCTCATAATTATCTGGTTAATATAAGGCTTTAGCAGCCAGTTAGCTTAGCACAAAGACCGGAAGCAGGGCGAACAGCTAGCCTAGCTCTGTCCAACAGTAACAAAATCTGCTTACCAGCTCCTCTAAAGCTCACTAATTAGCACCATGTAAAATCCCATAAAAAAGTCAAACTGGGTCTGATTCTGGTGATGAAACTGTAAATAAAAAGACGGATTCACTTCTTCAGCTCCAGCATGTGTGTTTGCTTAACTGTGTGTGTATGAAATCAGAAATGAGGAAAATTAAATTACACTACACTGCAGGGGAGCTGGGTGGCTTTGTTCTGGCAACAGATAATTGGATTCAGGAAATGAAACTTGAACATAAAAAAAACTGAGAAAGTAACGGGTATGTCAATAAAAGTGACAACCGAAGAGTATTAAATAACCACTGATCTTTGATTCTGTTCCTCAGTATTGATGTTGGAGGCACCAAGTAAAGCTTAAACCTTGGCTTCAGGTGGATCTGCACATAATAATAGTAACACGGTACTATCATGAGCCTGAGTCCCAGGGTGAAAATAAATTTCTCATTAGAGTCCAAAGCTGAAATCATTTATATCTGGATCTCTGTAGCTGCAGAGGTGCACTGTAAAAACAGCTTTTCAGACATTAAACCCACTACACTTACTGTTGGACCGTTGAGCTGAACTATCAAACAGTCTGTGTGTGTGTGTGCGTGCGCTTCACTTTCAGTCTCTCTTACAATATGTCAACTGCCAAGTGAAAATTACACAAAAATTTGCAATGGCTGAAAAATTAAAAGCAAATTAGGTGTTTTGTTACAAGTTTCATTTCCATGAGAAAACGACTTTCAGGAATTATAATAGGCAAATTGTTGGACTTAAGCCTCAGCTAATGTTCGACAGATTCTATCCTAAAAATGAAATCTAAGTGATACATTACTGTTTATAAATCTACATCTGCTGACTTCAGGGAAATATGGAAATTCACAGGTCTGTTTATCTGCTCTAATTGTTAGCATGTCCAGCTAACTGGGCATTAATACTTCCAAGGTCAAATGACACGTCATTAATTAGGATGTTTTAGTATGAGAGGCTTCAGATTAGGTAAAAAAGAACATTAAAAACTCAGCTGGAGAGACGCAGAACCAACTTTAGCTAACTGTAGCTAGCTACAGCTGATGATATCTGCTAGTCATGGTCGTCATCACTGTTGCCAGACTGGGTGGTTTTCTGTCTAGTTCGGATATTTTTGGAACATAAGAAACACAAACTACTAACAGTGTATTTGGCAAACATTAGACTTCCTGTTCAATGATAAATTGTTCTACTTTTATGACAATTTAGCGGTTTCTGGGCTAATTTTTCTCTAAACTGGTGACACTGGTTGTCATTTCTAACTGGAAAAACTGACAGTCACCAGCTAGAAAGCAGATGTATGCTTTTGTGTCATGTGTTGTCCACCTGCGTCTGAGATCAAGGCTACTTTGCTTCAAAAATTACTATTATTATCATTGTAAACTGCATCTGTGCCAGAATGGAAAGCTTGACAGGCTTAGCAACAATAACTAAGCAGCCAAAATGCAGAGATTTATAGGCTTTTATAAGGAAACTACTACAACTTTGTTTGTACTTTACATAAATACAGAGACAGAAATATGGATTTTGCACAGGGCATAAGAGACAGTGATCTACAAGGTACACATGGATGAAGTGTACATTATTGTCAATTTCTGTGTAACTTAATTAGAAAACTGTCTTTATCTGCTTTCTTTTTGTTTTTTGTCCCATTTATATTTTTTCCTTTTCCCTCTTTTTCCTTCCAAGTATGTTTCTGGTGACTTTCTTGTGAGACTTCACTGTCAATTAAAGTCAACATCAATCCAGACAACAAAAGAAAACTGTCTAACAAAGATGAAAGTTCTCTCGTCTCTGTCCTGAACTCTGAAATGACTACAGCCTGGGCTCCATTAGTTCTTCTTTCCTCAAATGCTCGTTCTTGTGCTGTTGAGGCATTTAACAGAGCTAAGGAATCTGATCCTTTCAGTGACATAATGTCCTGAATGGCAGATTAATTTTCTGTTAATGCCCAACATGTGTGGATGAATGTGCACTTTTCCCACAGACTAAATTTCTAAGGTCACCCTGTTGCTCGTTCTGGTGATACAGGTATGCACTGTGCGCTTTGAAGCGTAAAAAGATCCCAAGTCATGCATCAAACGATAAGATTTGTGACAGAAAAGTGCATGACGCAGTGATTCGACACTTCTGACAGCTAACAGCATGTGGTCGCGCTCCGTCCATCGTCCTCTGAAACATCAAACATCCCTGTCTTGTAAATGATGTGAGGAGAGAACCGATCTTAGACGGTTCTGTATTAGGCAGAAACCGTGCTCAGATGGCCATCATCACCGCAGCATCGCTCATCGCATGGAGAACAGCCATGAAATGTCTGTGGTTTTCGGGGGGCATTAATGTTTTTTCTGTGTACCTGACTCTAGATTGGTGGTTTTGTATGAGGTTTCAGCTTACCACCACATGACATACGCACTCACATGAGGGCTTTCAAATCCTTTTGATGTACGCTGAGCCGCGTGGTTGTTCATCATGTGTCGGAAACCATGAGATTACACTGAAAGGAAAAGCAGATCTACTGATCCTTTAAACTCGCCACAGCTCTTTGCACAGGACGTCAGGTGGAACAGAGATGTATGAGGCCCATAAAGTCACCAGCTCATAAATTTTTGATTCTGTATTACCAACTATTGGTTTTGGATCATATTCACTGATATATGTGCTCATTGGTGCTCGGGTAGGAGTCTCTGTACTGTGATTGTGCAGCTGGACAGGAAGTGACTAAGATATACCTCAATATTCATAGTATATGAATATAATTCATAAGAACTATTTTATTTGATGCTGTAATCAAATTTTTCGTTGTTTCAGTCACTATTTGGGATCTCTTCTCAAACCAACATACATTTTCTGAACAAAAAATATTATACTCAAAAATATGACGCATAGATTTAGTTAAACTTAAATATAGATTCCACTGACTATTTATCAAATACAATATATATTCTTTTATGTAATACTTTTTTTAAAATTTGTGTCCTATTTTTTTTTTTTTTTATGTTTCCTATAACTATTTAAGTTTCACATTTCATTCTACTCATGCCCACACTTTGGCTTGAAGACAAAATATGAGTGAGCTGTGTGAGGCTTTGATTTAACAAATGAAATCAATCTTGGAAATAACCCCGATTATTAAATGTTCATCCAACAGCCAGTGAAACAGGCAGGTGAACTATCTGAAAAGTGTTTTGGAAGTGGAGGCAGAGCAAAAGCCTCATAACTGTTGCTTTAAGACAGAGGATGAAATAGGCAAATAATAAATTACATAACTGCAAGTCTAATCATATTTAGCACTTGTAGCTATACAGTTCAAATTAATCAGTTTCGTTCATCTAAGCAGTAACTTTTTTTTGTTCATCTAAAAAACCTTGGTGTGAAAGGATGATGGAAAAATATAAACCAGTTTAATTGATCAGCAGTTTGTTATAATGCTAATTAGTGGTAATATTACTGTAACAGAAGTTGTTTCAACATACTTTCCCCAATGAAGTCTATAAAACACTAAATCTCACTGCTGGATCTTTTAGCAGACCATGGTAAATTTACTGTTTAACCATACTGGATTTACTGACTCTGCACTCGTGTGTCTGCATGTGTGTGTGGTCATCTTACAAGCCCTGAGCTTCCAGTTCCTGCTGGCATCAGCACAGTAATGAAGAGACTTGGCATTTCTTAAAGGATGTCATTATTTTGGGGGGAATTAAAACTCTTTTTCAGCTCTGCAGTGTTTTGTTGTTGTTCGGCAGTGAACCATGTACTGGGTACTGGGAGCAAAATGGACTAGAATAGAACAGGTGTGAAGTCTTGATTAATTAAATTATAGTGAAATTAATCTATTCCTCATTTTTTATGTGAAAGCCCCTCAAAAAGAAACCGTCATGATTCCCAACCCCCGAAAACATTATAAATCAATTTTAAATGTGTATTATGCAGGTTGTCATAGGTGACAGGCGTGCACGGTGGATGTTTGTGTGTCAGTTTCTAGCATTATTACTCAGGTGTGTACAGGTACAATTAGATAACATAGTGACATATTGTTAATCAGTAACTGACTATTTAATGGCAGCCAAGTAATATTCCTCTATACTGTGGACTGGGCTCAGTCACTAGTTTCCTCTTGTCAGCTCTCACCTGTTTTCTCTCCTCGGTCTCCTCGATCCCCTTTCTCTCCCTTCAGCCCTCGTTCTCCTCTGTCACCTGAGGGAAGAACAGACCAGGTGAAGATTATGTAGACATATAAATAAACTCTCACTCACTTTTACACGAATATGAAACATGACCCCAATTAACCCTGTAGATGCTGAATATTTATAGACTCTTCACAATCTAATGTGACTTGTGAGAACAAATTGTCTTGTGTCACATTACAGCTTGTTTGTGGTTTATGCTTTAAGTTGTTGTGTTTATCATAGGGGCTCATGTTGGATTTAATCTGTGTCTTTTATTTGGTTTTCTTATTTTTCCTCTTGTGAATATTCTGATTCTATCTTATGTATGTTGTTTATGACAAAATCACTTTTCAGAAAACACTTAATCACGTAATACTACGCTGTAGAGTATAACAGTATAAACACTGGAATATTAAAGTAAAACACGGCCTGAATGTGACTTTAAAAGTGTTTTTTGCTTAACTATTCTCATCAAAGTAGAATGCGCCTCTGTAACATTATGGCACATGTTTCATGACAGGCTTTAGGTGAATCATATATTTGTATGACACTAATAATATCTAATAATGTTCAATTTTCAGTTAAAGATCGAAAATGGCAGACTTCTTCATCAGTTGAACCATACACTCACAACCAAAATGTATCCTAATGTTTAACATTGTGACAAACACAACATATCACAAATTGGGGACAGAAATTTGTTAAATAACACAGAGAGGCTTGAAAATACCCAACCATGGTTCAACATAGACAGGTTTAAATTTAATAAAAGACCTTTTCTCTACCCAGTTCCTCTCATTTGTACTCTCTTGTATATTTTTAGCAGAAGCCCTGACCATTAGCAGAATAGTCAGCCCTGTAATTGCCTCGTGATATGGGCATAAAATGTGAAAATTAGAGGATACCACCCTGCGTCCTGTGTTTAATCTACCTCTAAGTGTTGTGGTTAACATTTGTTTTTTCTGCTGCAGAGTCGGGGGGGAATGAGGTTGAAATAGAAGCATGGGAAAGAGGGTGCCACAAAGAGACCAGTGTCAAGGTAAGTTCTTGGAGTATCTCTACAGATGTAGATGTTTGCATGGTGGAAAAGTTAGTGCAAAGCAAAACCACTGAATCAGTATAAGTAAAAATCCTTCCCTGTGTGGTTTCTGCAAAAAAAAATGACGTACGTTTACACACGACACCTCCCTCCAATCAGCAGCTTGGATACGACTTTTTGTCATTTGTTTTCATTTCAAAATAGGATTCTGTTCCAAACTCCCTCCGAAGCAGGTCAGGGGGAGAGTCTGTTTCGCTGCCATTTGTTGCTAATTTTCAGGTTTGAAACCACAAGACTGTTTTTGTCATGAAGCTATAAGAGGATCAGCTTCGAGTCGGCATTTATCCCACCTTTAATTTGACTCGTTTTTCACGTCTGAGACCACAGGTCCAGCTGCCAGCCGAGGTGGCACTCGGTCCCACCTACCATGTGTTAGCGCATGAGTGCGAGTCTATGTCTGAGTAGTGTAGCTAACACTCAACCACACCCTCAGCTGTCAAGTGTCACCTCAGTTTTGACCACATCCTTAACAACAAAATAACAGTGCAAAGAAAACCCAAACACATCGCTAAGCTACTGCTGAGCCACAACAGGCAACAGATGCATTCGATTTAAAAACTGAAACTAATTTCAGTACTGACTGTCAGCAATGGGTGGATGTCTGAAATTTAAGAACTTAAAAACTTCATTAATCAACATTTTTACCTCTAGGGATGGCACCACTTTTATTCTGACTGAATTATTTCAACAGCCATCAGATGTATGGCCATGTAACCTTGTACTGACATCCATTGTGCCCAGAGGATGAATCCTAATGAGCTTAAAGACTTTCTTTCACGGTCCACCAGTAAGATGGAAATATCTCAGCATCTAACAGATCCATGTCCCCCTGTACGATGATTTGTAATCACTTTGGTGATCCTCTGACTTTTCATCTAGTGCCATCATCGGGACAAATTTTTAATTTCTCTAATATTTTCCTGTTAGTTTAATACTCGAGGCTTTGTGCAGCACACTGTGCTTCCACCTGGAATGGAATGTGATGTGTAAATAAAGTTTTGCTTGCTTTGTTAATTCTAAAATTGGGCGCTCATAGTCCACAACCACACTACTACTACACACAACAAAAAGCATCATTGCCGAGTTAGTTTTTCAGTCTATTTTAGTAAATAAGAAAGTACGTTTGATATAAATATCTAATTTCAAGGGCAGATGTGACAAAGTGATATACAACAAAAGAATATGAACAAAAAAAAAGAAGCAGAACAGAACAAAAACAAGCCTAAACAAATGGGTCTTGAGCTGCTTTTTCAAGGTGCCGACAAAGTGTAGGAGCTACGACCTCAAAAGCACAGTCTCCTATTTGTCTTTAACCTGCAGCGAGGAACAACAAATAAACCCTGACCTCAGATTTCTACTGGTATTATGTGGCTGCAGTAGCTCTTTCATGTAGACAGGTGCCTGACCATGCGAGGCTCTAAACGTCATTACAAGAATATTGAACTGGATTCTACATTTGATTGGAAGTCAGTGTAAAGATTACATGGCTGGAGATATTTTTAGAGCACTGTGTCAGAGGTTTGGACCATCTGTAAGTGGTTCAGGGATGTCTTGCTAAGACAGGTGAAAAGGAAATTACAGCCAAGCCTGGAGGAAATGAACACATGTATTACAATCTGTTTTGGTTTTGCAGCCACCTAATAAATTATATTGTTCAGTATCAGCACTATCATCAGCCTTATTTCAAGCTGTAATAAGCAGCTGTTTTCAGTGCAAAGCTCTGATAAACCCACTATATGCCAGTACCAAATAACATGGGACAAAGTTAGGGACTTGCTTATGAAAAAACTGGCAACTAAATTCGCTCTTTTAAAAAGACCCAGATGTTTTTCTCAGGGGTTGGTGTAGACCACAACAGATAAAAGAAGAGTGAATATTGGACTTCATTCATCAGATGTACAAAAATATGACTCAAAATGAGAGCTAAAGTTGCTCTGTGTCTGCTCGACACATTATAAGTGTGGTTCCGTCTAACCACCTTAGATTGTAATAACGTTTCAGGGCACTTTTTCTCCCCTCAAGTGGCCAAAAAGATAAATAATCCAGGTTTAAACACCAAACCTTGCAAACCCCGATGATCTGTGATGCTTTAAAACCAACACCTAACACACTCCCTGCTCAGTCTACCCGCTATTCAGCTATAAAAAGAAACCATGAAGCTTCTCGGTGCTGTTTTAACAAGCTTTTCAGGATCCCTCCTCTCTCCACAGCTGAGCGACTGCCTCACTCTGAGGCCCCTGCTCACACCAGATGGTTCACAAACTCTTCACTGGTTTGTTAAACCCACTTTCAGACCCCAGATGGGTGAAAGCACAGACAGACATTGTTGTAAACTACCAGAGTGTAGATGGTCAAACATCCGCAAAGATCCTTGTTTTCTTCATCTTGTCTCAAGTTTTCTTGAAAAACGTTTATTTGTGAGCTGCTCTTTACAGAATGAACTTGTCAATCAAACAATGTGGCTAGCGCCTTAGTTTTTGTGCATGACGCACTAAATAAAATTCATAATTGTTAATATGCACCAGTGATCATTTATAAGCTGTCTTTACAGTGGTGACCTTGAGGAGAAGGGGAGATGAGACAGGAGACGATGGCGCAGACACATCTTTGGAATAAACTGTGAAATTATTGTCCTGTTAGCATTTGAGCTAATAAGCCTGATCACTGACAATGAGCTGTCTCTCAAGCATGTTCTCAGCTGTGTATGACATCCCCTTTTTATTTTACTGATCTGTAATCACTATGATTATATATATCTAATGTATATACACATAAAAAATCCCCTAAAGTGTAGTGGAGTCTGGTACTGAGTGTTGAACCATAACAACTAAGCGCCTGTGCACACAGAGACGTCAGCAGATCAGCCTGGCTCAAGGTTTTGAGAGCTACTGGCCGACACAGGGACTGTGAGACTCCAACACTGGACACTTCAGCCAAACCCAACTCTGACTGGCAACAGCTGTTGGCTAAACACACATACTACATACACAATGACATGCTGACACAAGAAAGACTGCAGCGCCTTATCATGTTAGTCACGGCTATGATTTCTTCCAACAGAGCTCTGTGTGTGTGTGTTTTGGTTATCATTGGCACTGTCCAGCTGGTGATGCCAGACTGGAAATATCAACACCCCATGAGGTGATGTAGATGTAGACGGGTCTGGATAAATGGATGGATGGAGTGGATGGAGGAAGCGAAGGGTGAATGAAGAAAAAAGGGCTACTTGGAAAATGCGTAAGCTTAAAGAAAAGAAATATAAATTTACAGTGCAATGGAAAATGACTGGTAAAGCAGAATACTGAATTGTCCTTGTCAGCACATAATAGTATACTGAGTCACTGCACCAAAACAGACTTTCTTTGGACTCCTTCCTTCCACAATGTGATTTACATAAATTTTAGTGCCTGTTTCTTGACTCACATGTGACTGTGCTACTGTAAAAAAAAACAAGCCCCTGTGCAGCAGGTTATTATGACCCATAGTTACATTTTGTTGCTAGGCGACATCTAGTGGTCGTAGTAAGACGTAGTTATGACAGGAGTAAACGGAAAAGTGCGGTGACGTAGTATAAAGAGCGACAAAGTCCGTCAGGAGGAGGTTGTGGTGGATGGATGGGACAACAAAACACAGAATTATGACACTGAGGTTAACCATGTTGTTATTAGTATAACCATGGCAACAAAGATCATCTAATGTTGAGGAAGTACTTATTGTAACCGAAATCACAATCTTTTCCTAAACGTAACCAAGTAGTTTTAGTGTCTAAACCTAACTGAGCCATGACCGTTATTATACGACGCGACAAAGGTAGGTACGCCGCTCTCAGTACACTCAGTGTGTTTATATTGTAACCATGACAGCCAAGGTGCTGCAATAGGGGCGCTATTTCAGGAGACACTGCTATGTTGTTGCAATTATCTATGCAT